TGCAGAGCTGTTTTCTGCAGAAATACTCAAATCCTCGTCACGTATCCCTTGTGCCGGGAGGAAAGCTCTGCCAAAGAAAACATCTGGAGCAGGAGCGGCACCCTAAATCTCTGCCTTTCTGTTTTGTAGCTGTTGGAAGAGGATGAGTGAGTGATTACAGCGGCAGGGAGTTCTGACATTTATCTCTATTATTTTCTAATTACAGGGCGCCCAGGTACAGCTTGTCAATACCTGACATCTGGTTCCTGCTATAGCTTCACACTCCGCTGAGCACAGCAACGGGCTGGGAGGCAGGCAGAGCAGGGCCTGCAGAGAGCGGAGACAGAGGCGGGGAGGGAGGAGGAGGATAAGGCCCAGCTGAAGAACAGCAGAAGAGAAACGAGGAAACATGCACAAGAACGGCAAAGGAAGAACTTTATGAGGATATGTAAAGGCAGAGAGAGAGAATGGGAAGGTGGAGACAGACAGAGACGCCCAGGTCCTGGAGTCTCGCTGCTGCACGCTCTGAGCTCCACCTTGGCCCTTGTGGTTGATCTCCTTGGCCTCTGTCCCCTTCCTGATCAGACCATGAAGGAAATCATTCTCAGCCGACACTCTGGGAGACACAGAAACAGGGAGAGAGGGGAGGTAAGGGGAGCTGCCCCAGGGTCTCCTGCACAGTGACACAAGGCCGTGACACACATACACAGGCGGTGACACACACAGTAACACACAAAGCTGTGACACACACACACACAGTAGCACACACACCCAGTAACACACATGGCCGTGACACACACACACAGTAACACACATGGCCGTGACACATGCGGTGCCCTGGTGACCACTCACTGCAGGAAAGGGATGAAGTGCTGCTTCTCCTCATCACTCTCCACCTTCCCCTTGAGGATGTCTGTCACGTCCATCACTGCAAGACAGACACAGGGTTCAGGCCGACAGCGCCCCCCTCTGGCCAGCATGAGCCCTGCACTGGGATCACATGCGGGAGCACGCACCGACAGAGCCGGAGAAATCCCTCGCCCGTGCTCCCGCATCCCAGCCGCAGGCCAGCCGCAGGCTCGGCATGACACTGGGGCAGATTCAATCCCCCATTTCTGTGGGAATGACTGTGACACCCTGCCAGACGCCAGACGCAGCGCCTGTCCCTGACACCAGCAAATCCCACCGCAGCACAGCTGTCTAGTGGAAACGGGTTTCTGAAGATTAGCAATGTGTACTTTTATTAACGGGAGATACAACAGGCTTTGTCTTGTTCAGGGAGACACGCACTCGCAGAAGTGTATTAAGCTACGGTATGTGCCAGGAATAAGGCAGCTTTCATTTTCCAGAGGAATGCAGAACCTGATCAGGATATTCTGCAGTTAGGATCAGAGGATCAGCGAACTCAGAGAATATCAGACAACAGATGATTGTGGAATACATGAAGAATTTATTTTGGTCATGATCTAGGGATCTACTCCATCATCAGAAGGATGACTTTGTTTGTTGAACACAGAGGCATAAACAAAGGGCTTGTCCAGCATTTCATTTTGACTGACATTTAGTTTCTTAAATTTTCAGAAAATATAAATATCCCAGGTCTACAGCAAGATAGAAAAACAGTGGGTCCAGATCTAAAACCAGTAGAGACTCAGAGAGTCCAGATCTAAGACCAGTAGAGACATAGTGAGTCCAGTAGAAACAAAGTGAGACCAGTAGAGACACGGTGAGTCCAGTAGAGACAAAGTGAGACCAGTAGAGACACGGTGAGTCCAGTAGAGACACAGAGATTCCAGATCTAAGACCAGTAGAGACACAGTGAGACCAGTAGAGACACAGAGAATCCAGATCTAAGACCAGTAGAGACACGGAGAGTCCAGTAGAGACACAGTGAGACTAGTAGAGACACGGTGAGTCCAGTAGAGACACAGAGAGTCCAGATCTAAGACCAGTAGAGACACAGTGAGTCCGGGTCTGAGGATAGAGACATGTTTCCCCAGTGTGGCAGTGCCCAGGCTCTCCTGGCACCAGGAGATTGAGAGCAGCGTGCTGCAGTGTGCTCAGAGTGACAGCAGTGCTGTGAAGAGCGTCTGGGGTCACAGGCAGATTGATGGAGCCCCTGACAGCCCTGGAAAACCCATCGTCCCAGCCTTGATGGATGACACCTATTACTCCTCCCAGGCCTGTGCGCAGGCCGGCGCCACAGCTCCTTATTCATCAGCGTCTCGGCTCCAGAGCCGCGCGGCTTTCCTTCCCCTTCAGTCTGTAATGTGTCATTTATTTATGTATGAGCGAACGAAAAGGGAAGCAGCTCCTGGGCTTTCATTACAGCTCCTTAACTAGCTGCTTCTGAACGGAGGGCCGCCGGCCATGCATTTTAATAACACAGGAGCAGGTCCCTCTGCTGCTCCTGGCCAGAAATATGAACATCGATCAGAGGGGTCGCCAGGTGATCAGAGCGCCGCTGCGCTCCTGGTGTGCAGGTCCCTGGACCGGCGCCCACACAGCACCTCTGACCCTTGAGGCTCAGAAAGGACATGGCCTTCACCCCCAGCCCAAGAGCGGCTCTGTGTCTTCTTCACGGCCAGCTGAGTGAGGAGGGCGATGGACAGGGGTAGGAGGGGGGGCGAAGGAAGGGTAAGGAGAGAGACCTCTCTCTGCTGTGGGACCACCCCTGGGGCCCCACCCTCATGGACTATCTGGGGCGCACCGCAGAGCCTGGCACAACATAGAGGTGCCCGATTAAAACTGATGATTCCACAGCCCCAGAACGGACTCATCCTCTCTTCACATATCATGACATCATAGCTGCCTTACACAAAAGGCACAAGGCACAAGGCACAAGGCCAGCCAGCATTCTGCTCCAGCCTGACAGCTGTCTCTGCAGGTGGCTCTGTCCTGTCTTGGACTCCTCCAGCTTGGCTTTAGAAGTTCCCAGCACCCCGGTGCCACTCTGCATCCCTGCAGGGAGCTGCTGTGTCCTGCTGTGTCCTACGCCTCACAGATTCGGCACACACTAGGATAAGAGGGCAGGGACACACTCATTGCTCCCTTCACAAGCTCTCTGATCACTCTTGAGCCAGATGATAGCTGTGATTACAATGTCAAAGACCCCACTCTGGGTGCAGTGAGACCTGAGGCACGTGAACCGCGTGTTAATGCTGCGCGCGCCCGACTCCTCCACCAGCAGGCGGCCGAGACGGGAGCCTGATCGCTCTCTCCTGGAATACGAGCCGCACTTCTGTGTTCAAGTTCTTTTTAGTATGCCAGCGGCAACGCTGTTCGGTCCTTGAAGGAACAGCAAAGCTTGCTGTGAAATCACAAGACCGTCTTCACAGGAGGAGAGGAGAAAGAAGACAAACATGGAAACAATAATGTTGCTACAGGACCTGAACTCTGAAAACCCTGGTTTTTCAGTCCAAAGCTCAAAGGTCTAATCTTCGACGTGCAGTTAATGAGCTTATTGCACAGTAACAGTTTAAAATCTCCCAGCTAGTTTGGTTTGGAATGTCTTGATTAAAGGGTGTATTGATTGGGCAGAGGCTGAATCAGAGCACGTCTGCTCTCTCGATTCGGTGTCAGACTTCACTCCTCGTGCACACACACACAGCAGCCGACAGTTGCAGATCAAAGCCTTTCTTAACAGGCAGATTTCGAGTGGATTACCGCAGGACATGCAAAATTCTGAGCACACAGTGCACCGCGGGCTGCACGTCTACCAGTAACCTTTAAAAGGAAGATACATTTTGACAGAATCAATTTTTTTCTGGTTGTAAAAAACAAGATTCACCCCGCAAATTAATTTGTTGTACTTGAGGGACAAAGTGAGAGGGAGGTGCAGAGGCAGAGCAGAAGTGGAAGTGAGAGACTGCTAGAGAAACAAAGGGGCCTAGATGTTAGAGCCCAGAGAGAGGGAGGCAGTGTGGATAATGCGAATCTCAGATCAATAAGCTGCTAATATAATAATGAATTATATTCTCCTCTTGTGTACGTTCCTACTATTAGTCCGACTTTATTCCAGTGTCCTTGTAACATCCCACACTGACAAGCAAAAAATTGAAATATTTTGTCTTGTGCAAATTACCAGACTACCAGGGGACCTGATCCAAGTATTCAGTGATAGTCATTCCAACCTCTTCATAATCAGCAGTGACACACAAGCCAGAGACCACCGGTGGAAAGTACAGGGAAATGCATTTTAAACTGAGAACAGGAGACACACACTCATACAAAGGGTTGAGGGAGCCTGGAATACACTGCACAGGGCGACACCCTGGAGTCTGTCAAGAAACAGCTGGCTGGATCTTCGGATATATCTTCAGATACACAAAATAAACAAATGAGCTAGCTGGGCCAAATGCTCCCCTCTCATCTGCCACCTTCCTGATATTATTCTTAAACACTTTTCAGGCACAAATAGTTTCTCTGTTTCCTGACTCTGATAACAGACAGAAACTGTGTTGGGAAGTGAGACAGACACTGTCTCTCACAACTATCAAAGCTGTTCATCTACCCTCATCAAGGGGTCTCCTAATTATTCTCATCACACCTCTGCAATCAAACACATTAATTAGTCAGCACCTAGTGACAAACAACATTAATAATGTATCTCTTAATTACAGGGCTACACGTAAGGGATAAACAGCACTGTGAAAATCAAATGTGTTTTTCAATTGTGCACAGATCTATCTCTTGTGAAAGTGAAGCTGATTTTTCCAGTAGAGATGAATGTGTGTTGACTTTACACCGTTCAATCTCTTTTAGCTCATAGAATATTAATGGTCTATCAAAAGCCTAATTTGTCCAAATGTATTCTTATTACAGCGATGCTTGGCCATACTCAAGAGTTGTAAACTTCATATTGCTCTAACTACACTCCCCACATGGGAATGCTTATTGATTTATGTGTTAACTGATTGCTCAATGACTGATTGCATAAAAAATTAAAAGGACACAGATTATATAATCACATCTATTTCTATGTGTATGCAGGAGTCTGTAGAGCACAGTGTTTCTGCTACTTAGATCGTATCTAACGGTCAGGAGCTCTAAATAAGATTTATAAGACAACACAGCTGTCTATACATGATAGTCCCAAAATACCAGAGCTTCCAGATTATTTCCTGACCCCGGTATGAGAATTCACTGTGTTCTACCTGTTGATACACAATCCAATCTTAACAGTTTCCTGCCTGAACAGTTATATTTTGCTTGCTTTTCTTAAAATCTCACTTCCTATAGCTTGAGATGTGCTCATGTGCCACAGTTAAATCTTCCTATGGGGAGAAATGTCACTGCTTACGAGCACTGGAGAATGGAGACACGCAGGGGTCTGAGGACAATCACAGAGAGGAGAGGAGCTCCAGGAGACACAGCAGTGCTCACGAGTACTGGAGAGTGGAGACACGCAGGGGTCTGAGGACAATCACAGAGAGAAGAGGAGCTCCAGGAGACACAGCAGTGCTCACGAGCACTGGAGA